AATGTCTCCAGACTTGGCCAGCTATCCTTGAATGGTACAACCATCTATGGGTGAAAAACCTCTGTAGTAGAATAGCAGTTTATCAAAATAACCAAAAGGATGGATGTGTTCTTTACCCATGCCGAACTAAGATATGAACCCACCTGCAAGTTGAAATAATCACTGGGAGAACCTTGATTTTTTATATTTGGAGACACGGAGACAAGAAGGACCTTTGCTGTGTTCTGTTGATATTTGCATTGTTTATTAGTTATCTTTCGACTAGTGTGGTTGTGGGGGCGTGAGAAAATAGACTAAGAGCTATCTCCACACTAGGGAGGCAGAGGCAGGTGGAGCTCATAATTCAAGCCTATTCTGGTATACATAGCAAGTTCCGATCAACCAGGGCTACACAGACTTTCTCAAAAGACAGGGAAAGAAGCTGTGAGATCCCCTTCAGAGTGAGACAGAGTGTCAGTTAATAAACACAGACACGATTTTAAAACAGAAAAAAAAAATAAAGGAGAAAAGTTGGTGTTAAAAGCAGGGTACCCAGCTTTTTTTTTTTACTTCTTATTTCTTCACCTCTTGCTGGTGTGCTCTTTGATGCCCCATTCAGAGCCGTGCGTTAGATGATAGGTTCTGTCTTTAGAAAACAAAACAAAAGAAAGACTTGAACTATCCAAAGTGTATCAGGGTTGTTTGCAACAAGCCTACAATAGAGCGGTAACCCTCAGCCATGCTAAAGGAGTGTGTGCCTTGTACAGCCCCTTGGAAAGTCCTTTCTCTCTTACTCTTCCAGGCAAGTTAAGGAATTTGCATAACTTAATTGAGGTACATTATTTAATAAATGCCAAATGAAATATTTATGATCTATCGCTAAAGTCATAAATTATTCAGCTCTCCTGAAACCTGTCTGATACAAGTAAAGTTGAGGCTCAGGAGGTGTTTGGAAGGGAAAACTTGTGTGGTGGCACAGGGAATAAGTGCCACTTTAGGGGTGTAAGGGAAAGGGAAGCTGTCACCCCGGAGGGTGTCTAATATTGTCAAAAGTTTGCAATTATCGACAGTAATGAATCTCTATTACTTTTTCCAAATTAGACTGCCGGGTAGTGAGTGGGTGGAAACATTTCCAAGGTCTATGTCGTGTCTGCCGAGCTCCATAGAGGAGTCCAAAGCTCTTGATCTGGTGTTCTTTAATTCAGTTGGCAAAAACCTTGCTTCCCCGAGTGTTTATAACTAACCATGCAGAGCTGAGCATGTGTTTTAGGAGACCTGTTTTTAAATTCAGTGCCGAAAGGATTTTCGAACCTTTGGAATCAAGATTATTATTTCCTCCGTCTTACCTTTGGGTGACTATCTTGGCAGTCTGTGTTTTTAGGAAGAGAGCACATGGAATGAAAATGCTGTGCTCCAAAGCCTTAGATTACTGTTCTTGAAAAATATTTACACGGAAGCTGAGGTTACTAATTGTATTTGTGCCTCAGAGTGAGGCCATGATAGAGGCAGAAGCACAAAATTGCTTTTCTTGACAGAACAAACTACAGAAAATAGTCCAAGACCAAATGCCCTTGAAAACGTGTCAGAAATCTGTCTGTCTAAGGAATACTGCATTTCAAGTCCGGACTGGAAACGTGAGAGGCTTTGTGGCTTGTGAGAAAGCACTTCCCAAGGGTGGACATGATGGTGCATTCCTGTAACCCCGGGCACTCCAGAGACTGAGGCAGGAGGACTGTGCCTGCAGGGTCAGCCTGCGCTGCAAAGACAGAGACCCTGCCTCAGATAAGAAACAGTTAAGCCACACTTGAGTCAGGACACTGTCCCATCAGGGACTGTATGTGTGCCCCGATCTGCATCCTCAGAAGCTTAAATGCAGGGTGTGAAAACTAATCTACGTGGTTCTTCTCGGGCCATGAAGCAAGGTCGTGGGTGCGTGGTGATGATTTTAACACAATACTCCTGCAAGATGTCCTCTATGCAGAAGGAAAGATGGCTTAGCCTGGTCTAAAGGGTTGTTGGTGGGACAATGGCCTAGCTGCAGCTGCCCGAGTTCAACCATGGCTGTGAAATGAAGACCTTATGTGTGCTCTGTGTGCACACACTACTACTACACCTTTGCAAGAAGGTGGAAGGAAACAGTGTGGTACATAAAGACAATTTTCTATTAAGAAGAGTAGAGTCGTGCTCAGGACTGATCCATGCCTTAGCTATAGTTGGTTTCCAGTGAGTAGTCCTAAGAGCTTCTTCATCTTCTATCATTGTGTCTGTTTACTGTGCAATCTAGGAAGAGAGATTGTTTCAATAGGAATGAAAAGGGAGAATGGATCAGAGTCATCGGGCCTAATACACAATTTTGAGATTAGCCTGTGCTGTATAATCCAAGGCCAGCCAGAGCTTTGTCCCAAGACCTTGTCTCAAAACAAATAAACAGGTAATAATGATTCCATATTCTTTCTTTGTGTGTAAGGGATGTAGTGTGTGTGTGTGTGTTCACATATATATGAGAAGTGTAGAAGTCAGCTTCTGGTGTAATGATCCTCAGGCCAGTCACCTTGATTATTTGAGACAGGGTCTCTCACTGGGACATGGACACTAAGGTCCACTGGCTGGCCAGCAAACACCAAGAATCCACCTGCCTCTGTCTCTGCTGTGCTGGGATTACAGGCCTTGTTACCACACCCAGCTTTTCACAGCAGTGCTAAGGATCAAACTCAGATTTTTGCATGGCAAACACTTCCCCCACGGAGCTGTCTCTCCCAGACCCTCTTATTCTTTCTGATCCTAAGAAATTTGTTTTGTTGACCTAAAAGTACTTTTAGAATGTTGACCAGAAATTCCTAGTTGATTTTTTTTAATATTGTCTCTTCATTAGTGAGGTTTTTTTTTTTTTTTTTTTTTTTTTTTTTTTTTTTTTTTTTTTTTTTTTTTTTTTTTTTTTTTTTTTTTTTTTTTTGACAATCTATTTTCCCCAATACTGGCTTTTGTACTTACTTGTACAGTAGGTCCTAGGTGTGAGGACTGGCCCCAGGGTGCTATGAGGCCAAGAAGGAAAGACAGACAGATCCGGAATTTATTGGGGGAATTGGCACGGAAGTGTGGCACCAGATGGCAGAAGCACCAGCCAGACCTCCTGAGGTGTGGGTCAGCAAAAGGTGTATTTACAGGGTGAGGCAGATGTGACCATCTTCTCTAGATTGTAGCTGGTTTATCTTAAGATAATCTTAAGGACTCCAGCACATGCTTTAAGTGGGGTCTGATAGGAAGGCCTGGCGATTCCCATGGTTTTATCTGTTTCTGGTGTGCTGGGAAACTGTAGAGAAAAACCCAGCTTCCTACTCGGGGCGGTCACAGAGGTGACATCCAAAGATGGCTGCAGCTATGACGAGCTGAATTCCTACACTGACAAAACAGATACAGACACAGTTGCCAGAGTACAACATAAGGACATGTCTGCAAAGCCTAGAGGAGGTTTGTGGAGTAATCGTCTGGAATCAGAAACAGGGGTAATTAAAAACCATCAGTGTTCAAGCAGGAGGTAGCAATCCTGGAAATGATAATGTGTGGAGTCAGAAAGTCATTTCTAAGTCTGTAAAACTGGCAGGAAGATTTAACCTTTTTAACATATGTATACTTGAGAGGTTGATTAGATAAGACTTTCTGACTAGTGAATGTCCAAGCTACCCTCATTTGTTATCTCTTCACTCCTGCTAGTCCATGGCTGGCTCTGGAAGACTGTTTTGTTTTATTTGAGGTAGAGTGTTAGTATATATTATGTAGCCCAAGCTGGCCTGGAATTTGCAGTCCCCCTGCCTCAGCCTCTTGAATGCTGGGATTGCGGTATGCATCACCATGCCTTGTAATGTATGCTGTGAGATGTGGTCCTGTCTTACTGTTCTGTTGCTGTAGAGATACCATGGCCAAGGCAAGTCTTACAAAAGAAAGCATTTAATTGGTGCTTGCTTAGGGTTGCAGAGGGTTAGTCCCTCATTATCATGGTGGGGAGCATGGTGGCAGGCATGATGTGGGAGAAGTAGCTGAGAACTTCTTGATCTCTGTAGGCATCAGGCTGAGAGAGACAAAGACAAGACACGGGGTGGGGGGGGGCTGTGAGAGGGAGAAAGAGAGGAGATACTAGCCTGGAATGGGCTTTTGAAACTCCCAGTGGCCCACCCCCTTAATCTTCCCAAACAGTTAATCATCTGGGAACTAAGCGTGCAAATATAGGAGCCTGTGGGTGGGGCTATTTTCGTTCAAATCACCACAAGCCCCTACTTCAGCCTGTGGGTGAATCCAGGCTGAACAGCACTGCCCACAGTGATGAACAGCCTGGCCTCTAGGGACAGATTTTCCTCATGTAAAACTCAAATTGTTTGATAGCCCTGGAAAAGTTATCGAACCCCTGTGAACATCTAAACTATCAAAGGAGAAGATGAAGGAAGGATAGAGTGGAAGGAGATATGGGGGCGGGGTGAAGAGGAGGAGGAAAAGAGCAGCCATGGCTGCTGCCTGTGCAGTATCAGGCTGGTCAACATTCTAACTCTCATGGCGGGGGCGGGGCCAGGAGTGGCCAGCCCTGAGGTACTCTTGACAGTTGATGCCTCTGGGTGAGAGCAAGGCAGTTTTTTGTTTTTTTTTTTTTTTTTTTTCTCTTTTTTGCTTGCTGCTGTTGTTGTTGTTTAAGGGTGTGGCCCCTTGGAAGTGGAATACACTCCAAGGGATGAACACAAGCTTAGGTGCATATGATCAGCAGAAATTGAACTCTGTGGGGTATTGTAAAAAAAAAAAAATCAAAAAGAAGACAGGAAGGGATGAGAAAGTGATGGTGGGGTCTGGGAGGGGTGGGAAGGGAGTATGATCAGCATAGATTGTATGACATTCTCAGAGAATTGATAAAAATATTGTTTTGAAGAATAAAAGGATGTAAAACTACATTTTTTTTAAATGTTAGGCCAAATAACTTTATGAAAGAATGGAGACGTCAACTAAAATCCATGCTAAGAGTGTCGTGCTCTCTATTCCAGGTGTTGCCACATCTGCAAACTTCCTGGAAGAGTCATGGGGATCCGAGTGCTCCGTTTCTCCCTGGTGGTCATCCTCGTGTTACTGCTCGTGGCTGGAGCTCTGACCAATCTGCTCCCCACTGTCAAAGAGGACAAGATGCTCGCCCTGCGCAGGGAAGCCAAACCCCAGGGCACACCCGCCCTGGACTCCTTCACTCTCATCATGCAGACGTACAACAGGACGGACCTCTTACTGAGACTCCTGAACCACTATCAGGCGGTGCCAAATCTGCACAAAGTGATCGTGGTGTGGAACAACGTGGGCGAGAAGGGACCGGAGGAGTTATGGAATTCTCTCGGGCCGCACCCTGTCCCTGTCCTCTTCAAAACACAGACAGCCAACAAGATGAGGAATCGACTCCAGGTCTTCCCCGAGCTGGAGACCAACGGTGAGGCAAAACTGGGCTCTGCGGCTGACAGGGCGCGTGTGGGCGGGCGGATGGACTTCTGGCTTTTAGGGGAGTTATCATTTTAAAAAAAGCACTTTGAAACACTTAAGCGATTTCCAGGTTTCTAACAAGCAGTTTCCTAGGGGAGGGAATCACATGCATCTTGTAATGATAACAAAGAGGGTAATGTTAAAATATTTTTCCAAGGTATGCCATGTGGCATAGTACTTGCAGAGTGTATATTAATTCACTAAGGAAAAGTCGTAAGATGACTGTCCCAGCCAGGGTTACCATTGCTGTGATAAAACACCATGACCAAATGTGACTTAGGGAGGAAAGGGCTTATTTTGCTTACACTTCTACATCACTGTTTATTATTGAAGAAGTCAGGACAGAAATTCAGACAGAACAAGAACCTGGAGGCAGGACCTAATACAGAGGCCGTGAAGGGGTGCTGCTTACTGGCTTGCTCCCCATGACTTGCTCAACCTGCTTTTTTATAGAACCTAGAACCATCAGCCCAGGGAACAGCACCAACCACAAAGGGCCAGACCCTCCCTATCAATCACTAATTAAGAAAATGCCCTAAGAGCCTGCCGACAGCCCAGTTTTATAGAGGCATTTTCTCAGTAGAGGCTCCCTCCTCTCAGGTATCTATAGCTTGTGTCAAGTTCGCATAAAGCCAGCCAGCACAGCCTGCACAATTTATGCTTAATGTATTTGTATCACTCTCTTCTTCCCACGTGTAACAGTTTCTCCAGGGTAGGATTTTCTTAAAAGAACCTTGGCTGTATTTAAGTGTTCATTTCTGGTTGATGGACTATAATTGCATGTTGATATTTCCCCACAGGGAAATACCATAAGGAGACAGATCTCTCTAAGGATACATTTTTAATTTACTAATTGGGTTCAGAAACACTCAGTTTGAACTGTATGTGTTGACGCAACTGTATCTTCCTGATTTTTTGTATTCATTTCCAGACTGTTGAATGTATTTTTTTTCCTTTTCCATTGCAGCAGTATTAATGGTAGATGACGACACACTCATTAGTGCCCAGGACCTTGTTTTTGCTTTCTCAATTTGGCAGGTAATGTTGCTATATCTTTTATGACATGGGTAAAGTTTTATCTGTGTAATACCTAACCAGGGCAGCTTAGTTTAACATGGGGGCCACTAAAACCGGATAGGCAGTATCTAAACCATAGTTGAGATTGTCACAGGCCAGTCAAGAGCTTCCGAGCTTAGTTAACACAACATGAAAATTGGCTTCCCATTTTGGCGTAGTAGGAAGCAAAATTGGAATTAGCTTCCCAAGAAGAGTGAAGGGATCTGGCACAGCCAAACTACAAGGCAGAAACGTTTTCCCCAGACCATTCGTGTCTCAAATGGGAAATGTTTTTGTGTGTTCACAATGTAAGAAACTTGTTGTAAAAGGAAGCATTCATTGCCTCAACAAGCCTGCATCCCAATGGAGACCGTGGTGAGAAATTCTGAGGTAATAATGGCGTGTGTGTGCCGATTGCGGTGGCAGGTGTTTGTTTTGGCGTGGTTTTTCCTGCATGCCAGCTTGAACAATCAGGCATAAATTGCTTGCTGGCTCCCCCACTGAGCATACACCGGTGACAGCTGAGCTTTACAGGCTGCTTTACGAACTGCCGGAATCCAGAACTGTGGGCAGATCTTCTGATTAAATACCGTGCTGTCCTGGATGGTCAGGTTCGCAGTAAATCCTCCCTCAGAGCCACGGGACGTGGAGGGCAGGTGGTGACAGTGCCCTGCCGTCCCAGCCTTCCGAAAGCTGCAGTTTTTAATTTCATGCCTCGCATATTGATTAACGGATTGTACCCTTTTTTTCTACATTAACAGTTTTTTTTCCTGCCCTGTAAATAAAATCAGTCTACCCTAAATATAAAGATAGAATCAGGTACAGTGTAAAGATGTGATTTGTTAGAGCAATGAACTATAAAGAAATATAAATCATATTTTAAGTTTTAGATATAAAATATCAAAAACATACAGGAGTGTCTGACTGTGTGGTCAGTGTCCTGCATCTCTTCATAATTTGGTGTGTGTGTGCATAAGATGGCGAAGACAGTGCCTACACATGTCTGTCCCTGCCCCACCTTGGTTCCTTCCCCTGGCTTTCTCCGGAGTGTGAGAATTTTCAGTATTTGGTCGACGTAAATGGTTCTTCTTTGGAGCCGACTAGCCTTTATCCTCCACTCATCTGTCACCTGAGCATCCTCTCTGTCTCCAGCAACACAGTGATCACTAACCTCAGTGCACCCACCTGCCTCACCCAACTGCCTTGTTTACAGCCTTCTGACCTCTGCAGGCGTGGTGATCCCCACTCCCATGTGTGAATACCCTCACTGTATTCTGAGCTCCTTGAAATTTAATTCAGCCTAGACTGTATGTGTGTTTGTGTGTGCGTGTGTGTGCTTGTGTGTGTGTGTGTGTGTGTGTGTGTGTGTGAGTGTGTGTGCACACGCACCTGTCCCTTGCCTGGTCAGATAAAACTCAAACTAGGTGAAGTTCACATTATTCGTGAGAATGAATTAAACTTTTAAACGTTCAGTCCTGTAAATTCAACATTTTCTTTTGTTTGCTGTTTTTTTGTTTTACCTTTAGGAAGTCCTTCTTTAATATCATTGTTTTTGCTACCATCTATTCTTTCTTCAAAGATCCTATATCTCTTATCTGTATGTGTGTGTAAATATGTAACTTATGTTTTGTTACTTTTTTAAATTCACATTAAATTCCTTTTTGAAAAGGAAATATCTAAATCTGAAAGGGCATAAAATTTAAAATTTTAACAATATTGAAATTGCTTAAAATCAGTAGTGACTTTCAAGAACATCAAAATCAACACAGGAAAAAATAAATATTGAAAAGCAATAAAAGTCAGATCTATGGATATATATGTTTATATACACATAAGAGATTAGAATAGTTTTTCAAATGATCACTCAAATCTTATCTCCTATAATAATCATGTGATCAACTTTTCTTGTTTTTTTTTTTCTTTTGTCTTTTGGGTTTTTGTTATTGTTTTGGGGTGAGGTAATTTTTGGTTGGTTTGATTTAGTTTTTTGAGTCAGGGTCTTTCTATATAACCCTGCCTGTCCTGGAACTCACGAGTAGACCAGACTGGCCTAGAACTCACAGAGGTGCTGGGATTAAGGTGTGTGCCACCACACCCATCGTGATCAACTTTTCTTACAGCATACTTTAAAGGACTAGACTCCATGGTGACAAAAATTTGTTAGATCAAATGTTATAATCAGGGGACTATTTGTAATAATTTTTCAGAGAGATTTTGGTTATGGTGGAACTTAAGCTTATCAGGAGACAAAGTTATGAGGTTGTCCAGAATTAGAGGAAATTAGGGTGTTAACTAAGCCGGGGGGGGGGGGGGATGTAGAAATAAGGGCAAGTTGACAAACCAGCCACCTCCTCTGTAATAAACGTTTTGTCTATGTCTTCTCTAAAGAAATGCCACACTAATTATTCCTTTCCTCCGCTCCTCAGCAATTTCCTGATCAGATCGTAGGATTTGTACCTAGAAAACACGTCGCCACTTCTTCCGGTATCTACAGTTACGGGGGTTTTGAACTGCAGACACCGGGGCTTGGAAACGGTGACCAGTACTCCATGGTGCTCATCGGCGCCTCCTTCTTCAACAGCAAATACCTGGACCTCTTTCAGAGACAGCCTGCAGCCGTCCACACACTGGTCGATGAGACTCAGAACTGCGATGATATTGCTATGAATTTCGTGGTCTCCAAGCACACTGGGAAGTCTTCAGGGATATTCGTGAAACCTATAAACATAATCAATCTGGAGAAAGAAACCAATGGCTATTCCGGAATGTGGCATCGGGCCGAGCACTTTCTGCAGAGATCTTACTGCCTAAATAAGCTCGTTCATATCTACGATGGCATGCCCTTAAAATACTCCAACATTATGATTTCCCAGTTTGGTTTTCCATATGCCAACCACAAAAGTAAAATTTGAACGGGAAACAGTCAAAACCAAACCCGGAACACCGGTAGGTTTTTGAATGGCTTCTCCATGCTGTGTAATTTTGGTTTTCAAGCAACGCCATGAACTTTTTGTCTAGTCCACAAGTCTCTACAATAGAAACAAAACAAAACAAGAAACATATGCAGTATTTCTAGTATATAAACCACATGGACTGCAAAAGCCAAGAAGCCTGTCTTACCCAGACAGGCCCGTTTGTGAAGAGCTTTTGTCCAAGGTTGTCACTCCTTGGTCCGTGATATTATTGTTTACATCTCGAGACTGCTCTCCAACTTGTTTGAGCGAGCCCTGGCATCTGCCTTAAGGATCTACAGCAAGCTACTTCCAGGACCAGACTCAAAAGAGACCCTTTCCAGCTTTGCAGTGAAGGTTGATTGTTTTTATCTGAAGCCTGAAATGCTTCTTCAGCTAATGCCTGCGGTATAGGGAAAAGCCATGTAAAGAGAGTGTAGTCTTGAACCCATGTCAAGAACCAGGAAAATTTCTAGTTGCCAGTGTCCCTTGTGGCCCTTCTAACCAGAATTAACTGTGCCCGGCATGGTTTTGACGAAGGTGTCAGTGCTGGTAATTCTGCTGTTAAGCCTCTTGTGTCTGGAGTGGGGGGTGGGGGAGGTAAGTTTTCACGTCTGACCAGTCTAATTGTTTGCTTGGTGTTTCTGTGAGCCTACCCTGCATGGATCACTACAATGTGCAGCCAGCCCATGTCTCTCATATGCAACCTGTATGCAACAAGGAGTAAATGTGTCGCTGCAATCTGTCACTGTGTGTGACCATGAGAATGTACGTTCTTTCTTACATTTTACAGAATGTTTAAGAAAGAGTATTAAAGAACTTCTGAAAGAATCGTTAAGTAGAAGCAGCAGAAGTTAAAAAGACCTTAGTATCAAAGACCTTTATTATTAAAGCATACGCTATCCTGTAGATATTTAATAGCCGTGTTACACAGAGATGATTGCATCCAGAACCCTGGATTTTGTTGGTATGTTTTTTTTTAATTCCCAAGGCACTATTCATCATGATAATCCAATTATATAGTTGCAAATAAATAAAGAACTGAGCCATCGTGTGAGAAGACTGTGGGATACCCACAGTTGTTCACTGCTCCTATCGCTATCGCCCGCTCTTTCTCGTGGGAACCATGTGTCTGTGATCTGTCTGGTATTTTTATAGTTTGTCCTTGCTCACCGCTCCTCCACCAGGCCTCTGTGTGTCACTGTTCTTCTCTTTTTATAAGGCCGACGCATTTTGAAAGGTGTGGAAAAGCAGAACAACGGCAGCTGCAGCTGCCCTGCGATGTCTTCCTGCTATCAGCCCAGAGTCTGTCTAACAACGGAGTGCGTACGTGTGTCTTAATGCAGTATTTTTTTTTTAAACTTGACCTCGTTAAAAGTCATGCTTTCCCCAAATTTGGCAGTAATTTTTTTGCCTCTTGGTAGTCCACTATCCAATAAATAAACTTCCAACTCTTCCGACGTTCTGTGTTAATGACTGAGCGGGCTACTTTTGCGGTGCCTTCCATATTTCTCCTTGCTCTAAAATACTACTGACGATGAAGTTGAGAACTTGATATATATTCACCGACTGGGAAACTCTTCCTGGATTTGATTTCCTATCGGTGTTTTAAAACTGAAGTACAACATTATAGCATATAAACAGGAACATGGTCTCACATATTATAGAGTAGTCAACAAGAGTACATTTTGGTCGACACACGACCGCTGCTCTGTGGCTTGCTCCCTATGACCAATCTTCCCATGAATACCTCTTACTCATGCCCTCATGATTCAAAAATCACTTGCGCAGGCACAAAACTACACCCATGAAACAGTGTATATAGCTCAGGCGTGAAGCCTGCAGGCTCTGCCTTTAGACTCTGGGCTCAAATCCTTGCTAGGCATCTCATTATTTAACCAGTCCAGGCTCCTATTTCCTCATCAAAATGTGTTTGTGTTTCTTCATTTTTCTTAAATAATGCCTATATATTCTCAAAATTGGGAAACTCGGAATAGGTTAATATTCATGGTTATATTGGTAATTGCTTTTGAAGAATAAGATAGTATGCCTGGATAGGGTATGTTGGCTTCCCCATTTCGGAAGCTGTTGGGGTGGTCATTGAAGGTAATGTTGGGAAGCCCAGCATACACCAAGTGGGATACTGAGAACATGGTCTGTGCCTAGTACGCAGGAACCATGGGGACTGTTCCTTGTTTTCATTATTTTCCTTTATTTCAAATACTTTTCCCCTTTGCTTTGTTTGTTTTAGAGATAGAGTCTTCTATAATCTAGGCTGGCCTCAAACTCATGGCCCTCCTGCCTGAGTCTCCCAAATGCTGTTTTTCAGACATGACCCATCACACCTGGCCAGATGCCTTTATTCTGAACATGAAGGCAATACATATTTGTTCTGACACTCTTGGCATATTCACAGCAGTGCTAAGAGATTAAAGATCAGATATAGTGGCTCACGTCTGTAATCCCAACACTCAGAAGGCCAAGACAGGAGAATTCCGCTGAAGAGCAGACCCACCACAGAGTAAGACCTAAGACTTGTGTGTGTGTGTGTGTGTGTGTGTGTGTATTGAGAAATATTTAAATTTCTGAGAGAAGCAATTAAAAATGGTCATCCAACTAATAACAATTTGATTTGTAGTTCCAGAACAATGATGTGGGATGTCCTTTTGTGTGTGTGTTGCTTTTTTTTTTTTTTTTTTGAAACAATTAACAACTGTAGGTTTACTCAATTTAAGAACAATCAAGGGCAGGAAAGAAGGCTCAGCTGTTAAAGGGTAGGCTTACAACCAAAACTAGAAGAATAATAAAATATCTCAAGACAAAATGTGTGTGCTCCTAGTTCATGATCCCAATGATTTGCAAAAACAGAAAAATTTAAACAATAGCACATTGAAAACAAAATGTAAGCATAAATTTTATTTTTTACCCAATTCAGAAATGTATATGAATATGTATCTGTTTATGTTGGTGTGTGTGTATGTGTGTGGTGTGATCAAATACGTGAGGAACAAGAGACAGCTCTTCCTGTATTAAAATGCTTTTCTGTTTGCATTTGGTTTTCATCATTGAATACAGTGATTATGGAGCTCACCCATGAGAATCCACAGAGCACCAAAATAAAGAGATTAAATAGCAAGGACAAAAGATCACTACCTGCAAACTAGTCATAATTTGGAGAGCAACAGATTCTTCAAAACGATATTAAGTAGGATAATGACTTAAAACAAATAAAGGGATATTAACAGCTGGATCAGAGAGTTGTGCTGTGAGATGTGTAGTGAGTTTGTAGAAAGGTGGATTTTCCTGTTATCCTTTCTCCTAAGTTTGCACTGTTCACACCTCAGTCTTGAATGTTAAACTGTTTTATTACTAAAATTTAAAACAAACTGTAACTGTATTATTTTAGTCTTAAGATGATTTAAATTCTCTAACAATGCTGTTGTTTTATAAGGCTAAATATGCTGGATTTTTTTTAAATCATCATTTCATCTGTCTGACATCTTTTTCCCCCCATGACTACATTAGCCAAGTCACAAATTGTGTCTCACGAATGCCCTTCCAAACATGTCCAGTGAACTACACTTATGAACACCTTGGTTAATGAACGGGGAATGGAAGGGTAGATGCTTCATCAGAATAAAAGTCCAGGAGACATTAAGTCTTGGTTTTATTCAACATGCTTTGGTGGGGTTGGAAGACATTAAATACAGCAGACAATCAGATAATGTAATCGCGCAGTTACTTAACAGAGCGACAACCTGAGGAGGGAGGCCACACCTCTAATGGGACTCATTGGTAGAGAAATGTAATCAAGCAGAGAGCACCTGTAGGATCAATAACCTCTGGTAGATGAACTACAGGGGAAGACTGGATAGCTAAGTGTGTGTTGCTTTTATTGGTTGATGAATAAACCTGTTTTGGCCAATGGCTTAGCAGAATAAAACCGGGTGGGAAATCCAAACAGAGAGAGAGAGAGAGAGAGAGAGTAAGCAGAATCAAAAGAGATGTCATGTAGCCGCCAAAGGAGTAATATGCTACACCAGTAAGCCACAGCCTCGTGGCAGTAAACGGATTAATAGAATAGGTTGGTTTAATGGTTAGAGCTAGCCAGCAAGAAGCCCAAGACATTGGCTAAACAATTGTAATTGATAATAAGCCTCAGAGTGGTTATTTCATAAGCAACATTGGAAACAAGCAGGCAGTTAAAAACCAGTCCAGGGGGGACCAGCAGGATGGAGAGTACTTCTAGTTACTCTACAAGGATAAGTCCAGCTAAAACTCCTGGCAGTAGTGGAGAGGTGCCCAAACAGATGTCTTAATAGCGTGGTTTCTTGGTTATTTCATTCTGCGTACCATGATTCTGCAATCAGTTAGAATGTTCCCATGTCACCTGCCTTCTTACTCTACAATAATGGGTAGATCAACAACCCCACCTTTCTCCCGTATCTGGGAGCATATCCTGTGATTATTTCCTTAACACGAAGTCCAATGAAAGTGAGCGCCTGGATCTACGTAGTGGTTTTTGTCTCGTCTTTTTTAGGGGTTTTGATACACCTTGCTAGACTCCTCCAGACGTGTTGCCATGGTGACACTATTTTTTTTTTTTTTTTTTTTTGGTTTTTTGAGATAGGGTTTCTCTGTGGCTTTGGAGCCTGTCCTGGAACTAGCTCTGTAGACCAGGCTGGTCTCGAACTCACAGAGATCCGCCTGCCTCTGCCTCCCGAGTGCTGGGATTAAAGGCGTGCGCCACCATCGCCCGGCCCATGGTGACACTATTAATAGCCTATCCGGGGACACCTGTTTCCCATCAGCCTTTCCCCCACTTCACTCAATGTTCCTGTCATCTACTTATTCCACATAAGATGTTGGAGTGCTCCAGGGCTTCAAAGGCTTCTCTTTCACAGAATTTTAGGTTGAGAAGGCTGAAAAGGTGGTGAGGAACTGCCAGTGACAGCTAGAAGGCCGGTAGAAGCTTCGGGAAGCTTTAGAAGGGCTTCTTAGGAAGGACTTCAAGGTTGTTGTGTGGTCACATAATTCACTATCCTATACAGCTTTTGTCTAACAAGACTCCCAACTTGGTGACTCCCCCACACTCTGGTTTATTCACCCCCAGCCTCTCTCCTTTCATAAAGTCTTTCACAACATAAAACCCCATTATTTTCCAACTCATGCTTGCATCGAGTCACGGCCCTCCTTAATTCCCTTCCCTGCAGGGTAAGGCTGAAACCCCTGCACTGGAACCTCATATGCTGCACATGATTGGGAAGGAACTTGGCCATGCTACAGGAACAAAAGGATTCTTTCACGCCGTCACAGACAAAGGGCAGTGCAGCCAAGAGGTTGTTTTTAAAGTTACGAAGTATGGTTGCATCAAAATTACACTGTACAGCGTGAAGAGAGAACAAATTCTGCAAATACCAAAATATATATTAATAAGCCACTGCAGCAAAGGTGTGTGTGTCTGTGTGTATGTGTGTGTGTGTGTCTGTCTGTCTGTCTGCATGTTTTCTGTGTCATCCAGGCTGGTCTTATTTAGTTTATTATGTGGGCTAGCCTTCAGTTTACAGTCTTCCTGGCTCAGCCTTTGGTCTCTGGGATTATAGTCCTGAGCTTCATACCTGGATCCAGAAGTATTTACCTAATTAGGAGGTGACTCGTGGACCTCTTTTTGTACCTCAGCATTTCATTTATTTCTAAGGGAAAATAAAATACCCCAATTGGGATTTTTAAAGTAGTTCTTTTTTTGTTTTGTTTTGTTTGATCACAAGAAAGCAACTTTATTTTATACCAGACGTTAACCTGGACCGATTGTGTGTGTGTGTGTGTGTTTATGTGTGTGTGTATTTGTGTGCGTGCATGTGCACATGCGTGCATGCTGGCAATTTGGAGAAATAGTTTTGGTTGTTACAACTCAGGGGACACTCCACCCCTCTGGTATGGTAAGGTGGTGTTGTTGAGTAACCATCAATGAGCAGGCTACATTTGACCGTGACAGCGCTGAGAAAAATAACCTGCTCGGCATCATTTCGTAGGCCATTTGGTTATTCCCTACACAGCATGCTTTCTTACTTGTAAGATGCATCCTTAGGTGTGCCCGTGTGGCGATGCCTGCGCGAATGAAAAACCCAAGCAGAAATGTGTTTGTCTGGGTTTGTAAGACGTCCAGTGTGATACTGTGAGCTGAGCCCCATCAGAAAGCCGCAAAGGTCTCCCGAGAAGCCTTATTCCGACTGGCCAGTCCCCTCTCTTATCCACATTCCCCTTTCCATTCTCACATCAAGAAATACACAATACAGTTTGCTTTTCTGAGAAGGACTTTAAAAAAAATCCTAGTTTGGAAGCTCCAGATAGCAGTGTTACATAACACACTGTGTATTCAAATAACACATCTCGAGTTTGAGAAAGCTGGCACAAAAGAGTTGGGGAAACTAAATATAAATTTTAAAGCATGTTTGTACAT